ATGATATTCGGCGACTCGCGCGCAGGCGACCGATGCCGCCAATGGCGCCGACGACACGATTTCGGCGCTGGCCAGTTCGGCCGAGCAGGTCGGCAAGATCGTCCAGCTTATCCAGTCGATCGCCCAGCGCACCAATCTGCTCGCGCTCAATGCCTCGATCGAGGCGGCGCGCGGGGGCGAAGCCGGGCGCGGTTTCGCGGTGGTGGCCAGCGAGGTGAAGGAACTGGCCGCACAGACCAGCCGCGCGACCGAGGAAATCGCGCAGCAGATCAACGCGATGCAGGATTCGACCGGCGCCAGCGTCGGAGCGCTCCGTGCTATCGCCGGACAGATCAAGGAACTCGAATCGACCGCCGTCTCGATCGCCAGCGCGGTCGACCAGCAATCGGTCGCCGGCCAGGACCTGGCGCGCAGCATCGATCTCGCCGCGCGCTCGACCGACGAGGTTTCCTCCAATGTGTCACAAGTTCGCGAGACCAGCCTCGCCACCGGTGCTGCGGCGAGCCAGGTACTCAATTCCTCGACCGAGCTCGAGGCCCAGGCCAGCACGCTCAAATCGCAGGTCGCGCATTTCCTCGAACACGTGCGCGCGGCTTAACGCGATTTCAAGCAATCCCCCCTTAGGGTTGATACAGTCTTAAGGGGAATGCTCGAGGATGAACGCGCATAGCTCGATCGTAGCCGACGAATTCGTGCAGGAAATCGCTGATGTCGATATCGGCTACGCGCAATCGGAGCGACGCGGCTCCGCCCTGTCCGATTGGTTCATGGGCAAATCGCTGGCCGCCAAGGCGAAACTGGCCTCCGCACTGACGCTCGGCGGCGTGCTGGCAATTGCCATCCTCGCAGTGACCGGGCTCACCTATCCGCAGTTCGCGGGGGTGGCGAGGATCGGAGTCATTGCAATTGCCGCCATCACGCTTGCCGGCGGGTATTACAGCGTCAAGCTCATCCTCGACCAGGTCATCGCGCCCTTCCTGCGCGTGGCACACGATATGCAGAGCCTGTCGCGGGGCAAGCGCGACATTGCGGTTTACGGCCTCGACCGGGAAGACGAGATCGGCGATCTCGCCCGCGCCCTAGAAGTATTCCTCAAGTCGGGCCTCAAGCTCGACGAACTGTTTTCCGCACGCAAGCAGGCAGCGCGACAGCGCAGGGCCCAGATCGCCAGCATGGCGAGCGACTTCGAAACCGGGGGTCAGCGACGTCGTCAGTAGCGTCGCAGCCGCCGCCCTAGATATGCGCCAATACTTAATCGCT